ACATAGAAAAATCTCACCTCATACAGACATGGAGTTGGAACAGCAAGCATTTTGATAGCTTCTTCAGATAACAAGGGCATAGTTTTTTGATATTACGACATAACTTTAGTAGTTTCTTAAAAATTGCAATGAGGAATCAGAAACCATAACAATAAACTTTTTGTACTCTGTACCCTAAACTACTGGTTTGTCTTGCATTTTAAAATTGCTTTCATGATTTTATAATATTAGGCACTGGTCTATGGAAAATACTGGTTCAGTTTTTGCAGTTTTTCCAAGTGTACAGTGGAAAACTCCACTATATGCTCATTAAGAATGGAAAAGAAAGATGAATTTGCATTACTAGGAAAGCACTTCTGGACCTTTGGACCCCTTATATGGGTCACGAGTCCTGACTCATACCTTGAGAACCACTATCTTCCACTGACTATAGGTTTGGGGGCCAAGGGCATCTGCAAACACAGCAGACGTTTAGACTACCACTTTCCTGCAAAATAACTTAATTGCGTGAACCTTAAAAAAAGTAAACTGTTACTATAAGGTAATGTGAACAAATCACGTATAAAGTCTAAAGGAAATAAAAATCACCTACACAGCTGCCTTCCAGAAATGATCAAGGTGAACATTTTGAGCCACTGGAATCCCTACTGGAAGGTTGTATTTTAATGATGTATAAAAGTCAGATTTAGGCGTTGGCTGCTTTTTATAAGCTCTCAAAAAATATTTTACGGTATGCTGTGCATAGTTTCGCAACTTGTCCTTTTCGTTTAACCCTGGAATTTCCCCATATGTATTCTTTTAAAACTTCTAAAATGATGATCACATAATACAAAGTTTTCAGGCTCAAAATCATTTGAGAAAGCTGGACGTTAGCATAAACTAAATTCCTTCCGTAAGACGTGGGCATACAGGGCGCACAGCCCCGGCATCCGAGCGATCCCAGCGACTGGACCCGACAGCTGACGCTGAGCTGGCTCTCACCGGACACAGCGCCTGCGGGCTTTCAGCCAGAGATCTGCGCGGACGTACTGAGCATGCGTAGAACGCGCCGGCCGTCCGGTCCGGGGAGAGGTTACAGGTCGTGAAGGCGGGGCTGAACACTCGCGCGTTTTCCAGGAGCTGCAACTCCACCCTTCCCGCGCCATCCCATCCCTTTCCAAACTGCGCCCGCGGCCGTCCGAAGAACACGGAGGGGCGGGCCCGCGGTGACAGACGCACTTCCCTTCCACGGAAGGAAGGGCTAGCGCCGGCCCAACGGGCGCGCTCATTGGCCGCGCATGCGTTCTCCGCCCG